CCACTTTTTGATTTTCGAAATTTTTTTTATTGTGCTAGGTTGTGCTAAGTTGTGCTAACATTGTGCTAAAGTATTATCTTCGAAAAATAATCATGGAAGGAATAAAACGAAAAAAACGATTTTAGGCAGAAAAGAAGAAAAGTTAGATTTATATTCGTATAAGTCAACCAAACAATATATAATTATATAGCTGAGTTGCTCTAGGCTAGCACAAGTCAGCACAAGCTTCAGTTTCGCGAACACTAGAATTTAAAGGGCACTTTACTCTTGACAACGTCTACGTCATTAATCACGACTTCTAGACTTTGGATCGACTCAGAATTGCATATCTGAGTTGTGCTAGCCTAGCTCAAGTCAGCACAAGTTTCAGTTTCGCCAGCACAAGAATTTAAAGGGCACTTTACTCTTGACCGCGGCCCTTCGCGCTCGAAACCTATGTCATTAATCACGACTTTCTTATTTACTTCCGTGTAATTTAATATTATCTTCATCAATCAAGTTGCGCATGCGAAAGATTGCGAAAATCAAGAATAAAATACCTTTAATATTTTTGTGCTAGCGAAACTAAAGCTTGTGCTGACTTGTGCTAGGCTAGCAAAACTCAGATATGCAATTCTGAGTCGATCCAAAGTCTAGAAGTCGTGATTAATGACATAGGTTGCGAGCGCGAAGGGCCGCGGTCAAGAGTAAAGTGCCCTTTAAATTCTTGTGCTGGCGAAACTGAAACTTGTGCTGACTTGTGCTAGGCTAGCACAACTCAGATATGCAATTCTGAGTCGATCCAAAGTCTAGAAGTCGTGATTAATGACATAGACTGCGAGCGCGAAGGGCCGCGGTCAAGAGTAAAGTGCCCTTTAAATTCTAGTGTTCGCGAAACTGAAGCTTGTGCTGACTTGTGCTAGCCTAGAGCAACTCAGATATATAATTATATATTGTTTGGTTGACTTATACGAATATAAATCTTACTTTTCTTCTTTTCTGCCTAAAATCGTTTTTTTCGTTTTATTCCTTTCATGATTATTTTTCGAAGATAATACTTTAGCACAATGTTAGCACAACTTAGCACAACCTAGCACAATAAAAAAAATTTCGAAAATCAAAAAGTGGGGAGCTACCAAAAAAAACGGTTTTTTCCATTTTTCTCGCTCATTTTTCGTATTAAAAATTTATAATTCGAGCACAATGTAGCACAAACCTAGCACAAATCAGCACAACTGTCAAAATTAATAAATTCGAAAAGTGGGGGGCTAACTTCATACAGGCTGAGACTGAGCGCGGTGATAATCAGTCGTAGGCTCGACAGGTAAGTGAGAAGAGTCAAAAAGAGGAAAAGCAGGCGTATACTGAGAAAGAAATATTTGAAAATTTATTTGTGAGATATAAATTTTATTTCTGTGAACAAACTTTATTATCATAAATTTTTATGAATAAACTTTATATTATTTTATATTACTTTATTTATATTTTTACTGATTGCTACACGGTGAGAATATTACAGTTTTTTTTTTCATAAAAGTCATTTTTAATTTTACTATGTTCCTAGTAATAAATTCTGCCGGTAAGGTATGTCTTGTTAAGGAACGTAGTACATTAAGAGAAAAAATATGTAAAAAATACAAAATATTTTTCTGTTGTGTAGTAACATGTTTACTTAAATTAAAATTTTTTTGTTTAAATATAATAAACAGTGGCTTTCATGAAAAGCAATTGCAGGAAAAATGTATATTTTCCTGTCTGAAAAGAAATATTTTCTCAATGTAAAAATGTGCATGTTAGTAAATATACTATTAATACTTACGGAACAAATGTTTATTTTTTTTACGTATTTTTTCTCTCAGCGTAAATTTTGCTAAAAATAGAAAATTCTTGATAACACGCGTTAGTTTCTAAAATCTAAATAGCGCATGCTGAGAGGATACTGCATAATCCAGAGGTTACTGCAGAATGTCGATCTGTTCCTCAGCTACAAAATTCCGTACTAAATTTTTACTGTAAGATTCTCTCCGTGTACTACAAGACCAGCGTCGGTTTTCGCGTGCATTTTGTCCATCTTCTATTTAGGTTGATTCAATAATTTGTCTCAACAATACGGTGCGCTTTGCTCTGTTGCAGGAACTGCGACAATGTGAACGTAAAAGCGTACGCCAATGCCCAACAAGGCCCGGCCTCATCAAGAGTGGTCTCCTCAATCCCCCATAGATGTCTTGTGAGTACCGATTCAATTGCAATCGCTTTTCAATCCGCGAAACGCACGATGGTACATCTCGAATCGTTTCCGCCGTTTCTCCAGCCGATCCGTCGTATCGAGAGCTCGCGGAGTCCACGGCGAGGAGAGAGATCCGCGCGTAATTAGCCGATTAGCGTTTCCGCGCTCTCGTCCGCTGACGAGAGAAAATTGCCATTTCCCGCGGCCACGTTCCAATTGAGCGAGACGAGGTCTGATTTTGACGGAGTGAAGGACGGCTTTTTATTCCGTCGTCGGTTATCCTCGCGGAGGATTCGGGGCGTCAAACCTGACGTTCGATCGCGCCAAGTCGACCGCGTGCGTAATTCTGTCCGCCAGAATTACGCTGACACGAATTACGTAAATTCGCGTGCGGTTATATATATAATTACATGTTGATACGGTATGCTGATAATGAGCAAATGACGGGTCGTTTTGATAGTCACGAGCAGCGGGACTATCCTAGTAGTGGCGCGACGAGGCGGAAGGCAACTCTGGAAATTGCAATTTGTTCGGATAACACGGGCCGCGTGTTTCCCACGGAAACACCTCGGCCTGCCGCGCCGGGCCGCGCCAAGCCACGCCGCAACGGCGGCACAAAGCAAATTTTAGCCGGAAAACTTGCGCATTAAATGGCCCCCGTTGTGAAACGGGCTTGTGCCGACCAACCGACCAACCGGCCGGCCGACCAACGCGAACGTTGTTCCAAGCAATCCCCAGGTGAGAGCGAGTCCCGTTAAAGATGCAATATTAAAGCCGTCGGATATGCGCACGGAGTCGCTTCGTCTCGCGGCATTAAGTATCTATTTGCAGATAAAGGCAAAGTGGAAGAGTGTAGTACGAGCGAGAAACATGTTCGTAAATAATGCCGTCAATATAATCCAGGTATTTCTGCACCCGGCTAACCAAACCCGCGAGTATTACCCAGTTATTACCCGGATACCCCCCGAATATACACATTCGCGGATAGCAGCCGGGTATCCGGATAACCACATTCGCGGATATTACTCCGCTAACCAGAAAGCGGTAATAAAAAAGTAGTCTCCAATGCGCCTGCTTATTATTTGTTATCGTTAGAAAAATCAATAATTTGTAAATCTGAAATTAACTGCACGCATAGAAAAGTGTCACTCTGTTGCTAGAAAAACGGTTACTCTATTTTTTTCTTTTAATGTTAAGTTATTTTCAACAGAGAATATTTTCTGGATGATAGTCTTACAATATACTTAACACAAATTTGTCTTACTATTAGAGACACAGTAAAATTGAAAAAAATTATATGAGAAAAAACTATAAATTATGTTATGTTCTTTAATGTTAAGTTATTTTAAACAGAGAATATTTTCTGGATAATAGTCTTACAACATACTTAACACAAATTTGTCTTACTATTAGAGTAAAATTGAAAAAAATTATATGAAAAAAAATTATAAATTATGTTAAGTTATGTTCTTTAATGTTAAGTTATTTTAAAAAGAGAATATTTTCTGGATAATAGTCTTACAACATATTTAACACAAATTTGTCTTACTATTAGAGACACAGTAAAATTGAAAAAAATTATATGAAAAAAAATTATAAATTATGTTATGTTCTTTAATGTTAAGTTATTTTAAAAAGAGAATATTTTCTGGATAATAGTCTTACAACATATTTAACACAAATTTGTCTTACTATTAGAGACGCAGTAAAATTGAAAAAAATTATATGAGAAAAAACTATAAATTATGTTGTTCTTTAATGTTAAGTTATTTTAAACAGAGAATATTTTCTGGATAATAGTCTTACAACATATTTAACACAAATTTGTCTTACTATTAGAGGCATAGTAAAATTAAAAAAAATTATATGAGAGAAAAATTATAAATTCACTCCGTGTACTCAGCCCAAAAAAATCGATATACCTGGGTGCTTTTTCGTAGTAATCGAGATTGACAACACTAGAGAGGGTTTACCTAGTCGGGGTTAGGACAAAGCATAATGATTTCTGATAGGTCCGCATCCTGTCCGCCATTGTTAGGTGTGAATAGGAATGAGAGAGATCTCTAAAAAGAGTGAGAGAGAAACTCTAAGACTGAAAGCACGCTGCAGCTTTTCTCTCACTTACTCATTCACTCACTCATTTCCTCCCTACAAATACTCCCAACTACGACTTGACGACCTTTAGACAGCACTATTTGTGAATACGCGATCTCTCGCGCTGTCTGTCGTGCGCACGACTTTTTTCGTATCTTCTCGCGGCGGAAGGATGAAACGAAAAGCGACTTCGTTAGCAATCCGCTAATTGCGACTCCAACCGTGATTGAAGAACCGAATGACGACGAGGCCGTTGGAGATGCGCGGCACGCGGGAAGTCGATGATGTAACCCGAGTGTGGGATCGTACGTACCGCCGGCGAGAACGTTAGGAGAAGTCATTACGTCGGAATACAAAATGCAGCCGCATCAAATTTAGATTGCGTTCTGTCTCAGGGGTACCGACCTTTCTGCATCATTTATAGCGAATCGATCCTCCCCTCTGGCCTCCCTCTTAGCCTCTTCCTTACCTTGTCGCTCCGCTACGTCTCGTTTCGGGAGTTCGTTAGCTATTCCGAGCTTAAAAGCTCTCTCGACTGCAAGTTTCGTCACTCGCGAATCTCGATTCGTCTGAGAGCGATGTCTCTTTCTCTCTCCTTCTCCTCCTCCTCCTCTCTCTCTCTCTCTCTCTCTGTCTCTTGGACACGCAATTTACATCGTGCCTGTTGCGCTAACGTTGCAAATCTCGTCTTACATGATGAAAGAGCGTGCGCGTCCGCCGACAAACGCGAGTTGCAGCGAGTTGCAGCGAGTTACGATGCGACGACGAAACGTCGCGTCGTCTGCTTTTGCGATACATCTTCGATTTTAACGACGCGTCCGACGGCAACGACCGCGCGCGCGATAACTCGCGGTACACTTGCGCGCGGTATGTAAATATCTGACGTACGATATATCTTACGAGATAGTTGGAGCTTAATCGCCCCGACGAGAGAGAGGGCGATCCGTTACTTTTTGCCGGAGAGACGGCATGCGGGTCGATGATTTATCGCTGTTCGCGAGGAGAGAATGTGAAGAGAGGAACAGAGAGAGAGAGAGAGAGAGAGAGAGAGAAGGGGGGAGAGAAAAAAGAGCCAACCAGCCGGTGGAATCGCAACGCGAGTGACTCCGTCGCCCGGGAAAAGCGTCGTGTTCGCATCGTGTCGCTTAATCCGCCGGTCGATATTTTTGAGCCCGCATTCAATGGGAAACGAAATTAGCGGACGCGGCATTGACAGCCACCTCGCTCGTCTGTCACGCGAGCGTTCCCGCGATAAATTTGTGCCGGCAATTTGGCGTCTCGTGTAAATGCCAGTCAGCCGCATGATTATCGACCGCGAGCTCGGCGCGGTGATTTGAAATTGTTTCAACTTGTTTAGCGGGAATCATCTCACGTTCGCGGCGAACGAAAGCTCGCCTGCAGTGTATACGAGCGCGCCAAAGCTCCCGTCAATCTTACATACTCCCTGATTTTTTTCCTCTCGCCGATAAACCGTTCACGCGCGTTGCAACGGCTGAACAGGCTGTGAGCTGCTGCAAAACACGTGAATTCGCGCGCACAATGCGCTTTCGCCGCGTCGGGATTGCGGCGAGAACGAGTCCGCAAAAAATAAATCAGGGGCATTCTAGTGAAATCTTTGCGTTGGAATTCCGTCTCTCTGACGCGCGTTCTACCGTTTAATGATCGTAATATTTACGAATCCAAATGGCACTTTCTCACAAGTAAAGCTACCCAAAAGATACACTTCGATTTCTTTATAATTTGGCACAAACGTAGAAGTACAACAAATATTTAGGTTATGTTTTTTCATTTTGGCTTACTTTGAGTTTCACAGACAGTTTATAGCTTTTTAATGTTCTCCTATCATCAACAAGTACATCAAGAATACATAAGAAATAAAATTGAATACAAAATATAGTTAAATAATTTTAACAAAATCGGCATAGCTGAGACATTCTAAATTTCTTTAGCCGAGATTCCAATCGAAATATTTCAAATCTGTGCTAAATTAGTCAAAAATGGCTCGAATCTCGGTCAAACCGAGAAATTATTTGTATAAATAATTTTTTCAACTTTTTACATGTTTTGTTTAAACATTTTATTATTTATACAAATAATTTTACACATTTATACAAATAATTTATACATTTGACTTTATATTCATAATCAGCAAACCAAAAACGCCTTTATCTTGTATTTAATTTTATTTCTTATACATTTTTATTGCACTTGTGATGATAGGAGTGAGAACATTAAAAAATTATAAACTGCTCGTGAAACTCAAAGTGGGTCAAAATGAAAAAAATATTTTTTGTACTTCTACATTTGTGCCAAATTAGAAAGAAATCGGTGTATAACTTTTGGGTAGGTTTACTTCAGACACATTATTTTATTATCTCTGATCGTCAATTTGAATATATAGATCGGCGTGAGGATTTATCACATTCTAGAAAAAAAAGACAAAAAAAAGGCAGTGCATAGTTTAAGAGGCCATTTTGTAGCTGTTGCGACAAAAGTTGAATAATTATTTATTGATTATTAGAGGGAAGTATTCGGAGTATTTTAGAGGTGTGCCTAATCGATTTCAAGTGTCATCTTTTGGATATCTTTTTATTTCGATACATTTTGTAAGAATTTAAAGCATGTCTTTCCTTGCTTTTGATATCATCACAGTGAATCAGTAAAAATGTTTCTGATTGAATCAGTAAAAGGAATATGACTAGTGAGTGCTCAGTGGAAACTGAAAGAGACACTCCCACTTTACTGTCTCGTCCTGTATCTCACTGATTTTCACCAGTACAAGTAAGATTTCGCGAGGAATTCACTGATCTTTCTAAAGTATAACAGTGCATTCTTCACTGAAACGCTACATTACAATTGATGGTTCAGTTATAAGTGCAGTATTGCAATCACAAAAATCTCGCTGGAAGAAAAACCAATTAATAGCAGCGACCGTTCCTATTATTGATGCAGTTTGCAAACACAGCGGTCATTGCACGTAAATCGCATGAAGGCTGTTAATTCCACCGCCACCAACGCAGAAATCTGGATTTGGCACGGCGTATAATGAATTTGTGTGCTGTAGATTTTGCAGTGAAATTTTATTTCAACTGGTCAAAATCAACGAGATTTAAAATGGAGCAATAAAGTGGGGGCATTTCCACTGAAAATCAGCGAATGCTCACCGATGATCGGCGAAATTTGCTTTCCCTTACTGATTCCATAAGAAACACTTTTAATGATTTACTTTGGGAAAGGTTGCACTCTAGAGAACACGGGGATGTAGAGAACTTGTCGGACGTGTAGAATAAAAGTCGCGAATCTGAATATTCAACATTGGGATGGACGTTTGTCGCAGGTGGATGCCTCGCTCCGCCATGAGGCCGGCCGAGGGTGACGCGTCGGATTGCATTCTGGTGGTCGGCGTGTCCCGGCCGAAGGTGGCCGCCGCTTTCTTGTCGGTCGCCTTGCTGTCCCTCTTCCTCACCTTCCACATACTTTACGATAGCGCCGTTTACAGCCTCCACGCCGTCTCCGCCGTCGAGGGACGCACCGTCGAGCTAGTCTCTCAGGTAAGCGTGTTCGCGTCGAAGACGCCGTATTCTCTCCGCTAACGATTTCGCCCGAGGTCATTGTCCGCTATATCCTGATTGATGGCAGGTACGCGCGACGCCGCCCCTCCTCTTCACCAACAAGGTTCACTTCCCGCGCACGAATCGCCATCTACCCCAGGCGATCATAATCGGCGTACGCAAATGCGGCACACGGGCGTTGCTGGAGATGCTGTTCCTGCACCCGCAGATACAGAAGGCGGCCGGCGAGGTGCACTTCTTCGACCGTGACGACAACTACGGCAAGGGCCTGGAGTGGTACCGGCGGAAGATGCCGTACTCGTTCAAGGGCCAGATCACCATCGAGAAGAGTCCCAGCTACTTCGTGACGCCCGAGGTGCCGGAGCGGATCCGCGCGATGAACGGCAGCGTCAAGTTGCTGCTGATTGTGCGCGAGCCGGTAACCAGGGCGATCTCGGATTACACTCAGCTGCGTACGCACGCGGCGACCGCGTCCACGTTAACCAACGGCACGCCGCAACAACAACAGCAGCAACAGCAACAACAGCAGCAAGTTGCCCGCAGTTTCGAGGAACTTGTGATGCGACCCGACGGCACTATCAACGAGTCTTACAGGCCGGTCGCCATCTCCCTCTATCACACCTACATGCACCGCTGGCTGGAGGTGTTCTCCAGAGAGCAGATCCTCATAGTGAACGGCGATCAGCTGATAGAGGACCCGGTGCCGCAGCTGCGCCGCATCGAGAACTTCCTCGGGCTCGAGCCGCGCATCGGCAGGCACAACTTCTACTTCAATCACACCAAGGGCTTCTACTGTCTGCGGAACGAGACATCGGAGAAGTGTCTGAGGGAGAGCAAGGGCAGGCGTCACCCGCGCGTCAGCCCGATGGTCGTCACGAAGCTGAGGAAGTTCTTCAACGAGCACAATCAACGCTTCTACGAACTCGTCGGCGAGGATCTCGGCTGGCCGGAGGAATAACCATCGTGGTGAGTCCCGACCCGAGTCGCGCCTGCATCCGGAGGCGATCCCGCGCGATCTCCGCGCTCGGATGTTCTCTCGTCAGCGCGGAAATGCGCGCCACTGGGATCAGACACCAGCAGCGCGGGCACGGAAGTGTGTTCCGTCGCCGACGTGGGAGTTCCGCGGGGCAGCATCTCGCGTACAAACAGCGGCGTCTGACCTGTCCGCGGACACCGGCGAGGATAAGTACCTCTTCTATCATAGATTGTCGATTTATTTACTCTCGACGGCGTCGGCCGACAGGAGAGCTGTAACGGGCCGACGTTTTTCAACACACACTCGCCCGAAATGCAACGTCGGCGCGCCGTTGGGCGGCCGGATGCGCGCGAGACCACAGCGTCTCGTTATCGAATTATTATCAAACGTGTTAGCGTACGCAAAAAAAAACAAAAAAAAAAGTATACAAGACACGCACATACATCACACACACGTACACACGTACACACACGCATACAAGTTACAGTAACGCCGGCCAAAATAAGGTGGAGGCGCGGATCCGCGAAGCGACCGCCGTTCGTCTCGCCGACCCGCGCGTATCCACGCGGATCACGTGTTGGTCCGTGACTTTACATATCAATTTTACATATCGATAGTTTACATATCAATAGGTTAACTAGTTGGTACGACAAAGATTGAATATTTTTATAATCCACATTGGAAGTTGTTATATCGCTTACGTCGTTAAGGGTATATTACGTATAATGCGCGGGAGGGAGGCACACACTCCTTCGCGCGATATCACAGAAGATCGCGGGTTTTATTTAACGCGCCTCTCTCGCGCACGCACGACTCATGTCCCGCCATACAAAGAACACGCGGAGTGTAGAATGCCGATTCCGTGTCTCCTGCTGAAGGAAAGGTGGAGAAGAAAGGCTGAAATTTGTGCGCGACTCTTCAGTTTGCTCTCATCCGCCCTCGAAGCTTGCTTCTTCGTCCGAGGTTGTTCCCTCTTCATCCCGCATAGAAGAGAGAAAAGAAGGGGGAAGAGCACGAACGCTCCTCTCCATCGTTCTCTGACACTGGATATCGGCGCAAGCGTTCCTCTGGGAACACGAAGAGAGAAGTAGGGTGGAATCCGACCAACCGCGAATAAACTCGTCAGCGGTAGCATAGGACGGAACGGCTCGCCGCGGCTTTATTGTAGAAACGTTATAATCGATTATTTTCTAAATCTCGGCGTAGAAAGGGCTCGGACGGGGTTACGCTTTTATATATAAATTCTAGCGAGAGGGGGGAAGGGAGAGAGAGAGAGAGAGAGAGAGAGAAAATTCAGGGTGAAACGCGCCATGGTACTCGGCGCTGCGCGCGCAGGGGAAGGCGCGAGAGCGACGAACGCGACAACGTGAGCGCGTTTAAAGATTCATCGCGGTTGCACGGTACGTGTTCTCCTAGGTTATTGAAAGAGTTGTTAATTATTGCGCGGCCGATTAATAATTCGACGAGCACGACGTCGACGACGACGGAGGCGACGAGCGTCGCGCGGTGGGAGTTAATTAACGCTCCTTCAGTTCGCGCTCGTCGAGGATTCCCCGACCGAGCTGCGAATCGCGTGCTGGAAATCGCGCGCGCTCGTTATCGACGCGACAATTGTGTCGCTATTTTCCGCCGTTTTTTCTCGATCTCGGCTCGAGAATTTCACGTGGACACGCGGGCCGCGACGAGGTGTCCACCGCAGCAGTAGGGGGATGTGTTATGACGTGGACACGTCCACACAGCTGGGAACGCCACAGAGGAAGAAAAGGAGATTAAAGGGACGACGAGAGCCGTGCGCGACGGCGAGTATTTCTTCTCCTCTCGCGAGCATCCGGCGTAAGCCATAAATAATCCGCTTTACGGCGCAAGTGAGTCGTGCATGCGCGGCAAAGTGCAGTCCGCGCCGGTGCGCTGCGCGTTTATTCCCGCGCGATAAATACCGGCTCGGCCGGGCTCCGTTTCATCGGCGCCCGAAGACGCCCGTGAAACGGAGCGACGGCGATTCCTAGGCGGCCGGGGTGCGTCAATGCCTCTTCTGCGGCACGCGGGCCGCGGTAAATCTCCAGGGGACGAGTTCGATATCTCTGGAATTGCGAGTAGGGCCGAGTGCCTTGGACTCGACGAAAGTTCAAGATACAAGAGAAAATACAAGGGACACGAAAGGAAGGTTCTCGAGAGGGACAGGATTGTTCTTGCTTTTTCTGGACTCGGGGGGGTGCAGACTCGCGCCTTCTCCCCGTTCTCACTCTGCGGTTTTTGTTTCGCGGGCTAATCGAAAGAGCGCCGTTAATTGCGACGCTGCAATTTGCTCAACCGCCGCGCGCTTTCGCGGTTTCGCTCGGCCGATCACCGGTCGAGAAGTTAAGCCGAGGGTAGGTCTCGGCGAGACGATAATTTCAAGTCCGCGAGCGATCCCAGGCCCTCAAAGAGGCTCGCAGTGTCGCGCGACTGCGTCGTTCATCCTCCTTGCCGTGCATACGCTTTGATCTCACCTTCTATGCTCTCGAGGACTCGGTTGCGCGTTCGCCTAAGTTGCCATTTCCCCGTGCATGCCTCGATTCCCCGCAAGATACCTCGCGGTGTGTACTGTTTGCAGCGCGTTCGGCACGTAAGTCCCTCGCGGCTTAACCCTTCAGTAGGCGTGTGCGCTTCTTACCCCACTTCAGGCGCGTCTGGTCTACCACGGTAGATGTGTACTCTGCCAAATGTATATGCTCTTCGAAAATACGTACTAATACGAACAATAGACTATGTGCGCTTCAAGAAACGCGATGTATCTTTCACTATGTTTGTACATAGTGCGTATATACTGTGTATGTACATAGTAGTGATACGTAGCTTTCGAATTAGATCGCGCCTAACGAGAGGTTGATACCGAAGCAAAACAGATTCCATCTTTCCTCCACGATCCACACCTTCGAGCGCTTTCGAATCGCGACGCGAGTGAGAAATTACATTTGCAAATGAATTGCCGATTACGCAATGTGTAGAGAGAAAGAGAGAGAGAGAGAGAGAGAGAGAGAGAGAGAGAGAGAGAGAAAAGGGAAGGGGGTTATCTAGTGACACTAGTGAAATAAAATTGTTCGACGGTGCCATAATTTGCTTGGTACTGCGTCCTTCATGGATTCGGTTTTGACGTCTCATGAACACATATTCACTTCTTCAGCAGACTTCTTCAGCAGAAGAATGACCTGAGACTCGGCCGTTCCCGAATTCTTACTTAATAAAAATAAAAGCATTTGATTAACCTCACAACACATTGATTTTGCTTCGGAATTGGTATCAATGCGTGCTCCATTCTCAATCAGCATCTTTCAGCGGGAGATCGAGTCATTCGCGTATTTTAATATGTTCTTTTTCGCTCGTCATTTGTTTCATAACGTCTGCATGAGTCACTCGATACGTCTTCTTTTTCATCAGCAAATTTAAAGGATGTAATTATACTTCCACGTTTAATCTCGTTTACGTTGCCTTATTAACTACTGGAATATCAGTAATTTTTATTGATCTTCGATATTTTAACGATACTTTCTTGGTTGATTTGAGTAAACGTTCTTTAACATTAAGCTCAAATAAGTCACTGCTGTCTTATAGTATGATAATTGAATGTGACGATAATTTTCTATCAAAGAAGTTTTTCATTGTACGAATGAGTAGTCGATGATATAGTCCACGCACATCTTTTATAGTCTCAGGTCGTTCCGTTCCTGAAGAAGTAAACTGGAATGTTCAAACGTTGAAAACAAATCCATGACGGACGCGAAAGCCAGACCAAGTATTTCCACACCGCGGAAATATAAAAGTATCGCCATAACTTACGTATAACGTAAGTTACGTTGCATGACTTATTTCGCTTCGTTTATTATTTTTCCTTTCTTTAATTTCTTGTTGCATTTTCTCCTTTCCTCTAAGAGGCTTAGCTTGTTTAATAAAAATGAAATCTTTTCTATGTAATCTGCGAGCAGTAGAATAAATTCGCGAATTGTCAAAATATCGTCAATAAACGATCTTGGCGATGAAGAAACGAAAAAAATGAATATAAAAAACGGAATAGCGTCTCTCACTGATTGTTTATTCAATCAGAGCATTCAATATACGCCTTTTTATTTGAGGAAAATTAATCTCGCGAAAGTCAGGTCAGACCTTCGACTTACGTGGGGTATTGTATAGTTACTACCTCTTTCACACGTCAAACGAGTCCGTCACGTACGTTACATTGTCGAACAATTTTGTTCTCCCGCTAAGATTGAAATTATCGCGCCCAACGCGACCGCTCTTATTAACCTATCACTCCTACTGGCGGTTTTCCATCGATTGACGTCCTGCGACCGGCGACCCTCCCTCGTTATCCCGCGGACGAATGTCGGATTTCACCTTGAATCGTGACGGTGCGAGTTTTATTCGACTCACGCGTGACACGCGATCATCCTTCCCGGCTTCATTTGAGCGCACGCAAAAACGCACCGTTTTGATATTCCATCTCACGAACGACCGAAGAGACCGCGTTACGGCCCCTCCCCGACCTCCGCAGCCAATTAAGGAACCTTGTAGAGCTTCTTCGCGAGAGTCACGCCACGGCCTGATAAGCTGGAGAAGCGCAGCTGGCCACGTTAAGTCCCTCGCACACTCGGTTACTCGCTTGTTCAAACAGCGGAACATTCCTCGACGTACTCTGCATTCCAGCGAACAACTCCCGTGCATTTTTCCATCCGCAATCGCGCTCTGACCTCCTCCGAGCCGTAATTAATCGTGTATTTTCAGGGACGAGCGTCACTAATCGCCGAGCTTTTTCCAGAGAGAATTCGTGGACGGACGGCTGTGCGTTCTCGATTATAATAATCAACAAAACGGGAGATCCGAGAGAGAGAGAGAGAGAGAGAGAGAGAGAAAAGAGAGAAACAAAGAGACAGAGGGGAAAACGGAACCTTCTGGTTCATGACGAATATCAAGCCACTATGACCCTAATAAATCCTCCGTCGAAACGTCTATCCGGCGCGCGATGTCGTTAAAATTACGCCACGAAAAAATATCATCTCCAGCCGCGGCGCAAGATAAATATTGTTCCTCTCTGTCTCCCCGCGCTTCCGCGCGAGTAAAAGTTTGATCCTCTGCGCGGGCGCACGCGATGACGATACCTCTCTCTCCTTCGACCCCGGTCCTTCGGCCGTTCACCCCGACTTTAGCGGAGTTAACACTCCCTCTCCCGCCCCCTTCCGCCCCCGCCCCTCCTCGGTGAGTGCGATTTTTCTCCATTCTCTCTCTCTCTTTCTCTTTCTCTTTCAGCTCTCGCAGTCTCTCCTCTCACGCTTTTCTTCTATTTTTTCAACTCGTCCGCGTTTTTTCCTTCAACGTCCGGCCGATCTATGAGAGTTCCGTGCGGCAGGTCCTTTCATCCGCGCGGTGTTTGCGAATGTCGAAACAAATATTTCTAGCCGGAGTTAGCACGGAAGCCTCTTGCAAATACGCCGTTTTATACGCGCGAGGGCGCGTTTTCGATTGAAATATAACGACGAGAACGCCGGCAGCTGGGAGCGATACGGCGTGTATCGAGAACGTTGGGCACACTTATTCGTCACGGGGTATCAGGTCGCATCGGAATATCTGTCGTCGATTCGTGCATGTAATGCACACGTACGCGCACGCACACACGGGCCGCGTAACCAGGTAGAAATTGAATCGGGGTCTTTCAGGGAACAGCTGGCCGTCGCTGTATCGCGCGGAGGGAGCGCGACTCTTCATCCTCAACTGATCGATATTGCTCGCCATTCACGCGGACGTCCGGCGAGAAATGTACGCAGATCCGGCGGATCCCTCTTGTCCTTTTCGTCTCCATTACGGATGCACCCTCTCTGAAACGGCGGTCGGGATGAATATGTATTTCTACCGAGCCCGCGCGCGCCCTGCCACACACGAAAGTACTGAAATTGATAAAGACCGACCCCGGTAGTGGAGATTCGCGGATGTTACCAGCCCGTTCTTCCGCTCCCACCGAATAACGACGATCCCGCGCGCGCTTCTCCTCGAGATATCTTGCACGGAGAATGAGGCTGTCGACAAACGACCGTTCATATCGACCGTTCGGGACCGTCCCTTCGAGACGTCTCCCTTTTACTTTCCGTTTACGTCTTCCCCATTAATATTGCGACGTATATACGCGCGGACAAAGAAACTCCCGAAAGCGTCAGGCGAGAAAGGAAGAGAGAGAAGGAGACAGAGTAGAGTAGAGAGAGAGAGAGAGAGAGAGAGAGAGGAAGGAAGAGAGATAGAGGGAGACGCTTCTTTTCGCGTGTGATGAATATGCATTTTATGCAAAACGTATCCGCATTCGCCAACTTAAGTCGTGGAAGAAGAGGAGCGGCAGTACGCGCGATGCTTCGGCGGTGAGGGAAAAGCCTCCATCTAACAATCTTTCCCTCTTTCTCGTCTCTCTCTCTCTCTCTCTCTCTCTCTCTCTCTCTCTTTCTCTCTCTCTTTCTGTCCGTCTCTCCGCCTTTCAAGGGAAAAGAAAGGAATAAAGGAACTATAGGAATTATTCGCGCGAGAACGCGGATCCGTCTAATCACACGTTCGAGTGTAATTCGGGGCGCAGGGGGTAATCGACCCTCCGTTGTAAAATCGAAGGAAATATGGTTGCGCTGCGCGACGGGGCTGGGTCGTACGGAGGCCGAAGTGGCAGAGGAGATTTTACGGCGCATCGACTTATCGAGTATCTAAGCGCGTTACTACGCGGCGCGCGATAAAATTCAAGATCGATTCCCTCACCTTAATCGCGCGTATTACTATGCGATGCGGCGGCGACGGCGGCGGCGGCCGGCGTGGGTGGCAAGTTACTTCGGTTCTCTCGGGGGATAATAATAACACGGTAATCAACCCTCGAGAAGTTTCGTGGGATAGAGCGGCTTAATAATGCACGCGAAATACTCCCGAGATATGCTGCATGCCGAACCCTGCGGACGAAATTGAATTCCGTCCGGCAACATCAGTTCGCGCGATCGCGAGTTGCGAGGTCGCGGCTTGATTGCGATTCAATGGGACTTATTTGAGTCGTGGAGTAATGGATCGCGATTTGTTCGAACGGGGGCCGTATTCCGGCGAAGGCTGAATATGTCCTTCTGATGAAATTCAAATCAAGTCGGCGATAAGTAGCCGACCAGAAATTTATCCCGCGGTTTTGTTGAAACTTCGATCACTTGTCTGATCTGTATAAAGTAGTGTTAACGGGTTCTAATTATAAGCAATCCTTATCGCCTTCTTTTCTTATTATATATAATAAGGTCTTGATTGCCACGTCGCGCTGCACGCAGAAAATTATATCATTCTTTGCTGCTGAAAACAGCTATTACTCAGTTTATTTTCCTTCCTTTAAGTAATTTAAGTAATCTCTTCTACAAAGAATATTTTTCTGATAATAGTCTTTAAATATACTCGTCACAAATTTGAGAGAAGCTTATTATCATGTACTCGGAAAGAAGAGTATATTCTCTTTAGAGGAATATTATAAAGCTCTATCCAAGAAAAAGTTGCTTCGTCTCTACGTTTAGTTCGTCGCGGAAAGTTTGCTAAAGACAGAGTCTTTCTGAAGCTGAAACAATCGTTAAATGCGACATGAAAAAATTGGTATTTGGAATTAAAGGGATGTATTTCAGCGTTTGTCTGGAATAAGGCACCGTTTAGTTCGTCGCGTCGCGATCGTAGTCGTCGACACGGAAATGCGTGCCAACGTCTTGCAGTGAATATGCCGCGAAAGAAATTTCGGGAGCAATTTCCTTATGGCGCAGTCGGTCGCGATACGCGCGATTGCACTTTGGGATGAATATTGTTCTTAGTAATAACATCGCCGCGCATATTTCCTCGCGCTGCTGCGCAACCGCGGAAGTAAAAAACGGTAGTTTCAACGGGAAACCGGAGTGTGCGAGACCGGGAGCGGCGGAAAGCGGGAAAAAAGCGAAAAAGCGTGAAAACACGGCTGTTACTCTGCGAAAATCTAATTAATTGTTCGCGCGAGCTTTTTTACGTTTTCAGATTCCGGAAGCTTTGAAATTTTTCGACCCGGCCATCGCCGGCTCGACAAGCGGACACGAAAGTCATTTGTATTTCGCGTGACAGCGATTACCGGAAGTCGCATTACCCTAACAAAACGAGCACTCGAATTCTTTATAATTCAGATTTCGCTCGAGTGCTTTCGGCCGTCATTTTTATCATATCAGCGTTCTGCAAGCGAATCAATATCAGCGCGCGAACGATCGTTCCCTCTTGAGACGCCTGTCCCGAAACAGAGGCGGAACAATTCTCGCATCGAGCGTGTTACCAGAGATATCGAATGACATTGTTGATATTGTTGTCCGTAGTATCGACTCGCAACACATCGTTAAGCTCTCGCGTAGCAAAAAGCGCCGCGCACTTTCGTGAAGTTCCCGAAGAAATTGACGCACACACACGGGCCTTCGAATCCACGTAGCACGGAAGAGGGCACGGGTGGAGGTAGAGAGGGTCAGACCATGGTGTTTAATGAAACAAAAGACATTAAACTAAGAGGCTACGTGCGAATGTCGCACGCATCCTCGCGCTCGGCGCTAGTCGTTAAAAAGAAGAAACAACATATCATGCTTGCGACGGACCTGTCGCAAATGTCCGACTGGGTTCTTCTTGAAATATGTTGTCAAATACGAAGATCAAAGAAACTCGCGCTCTTTTATGCGCTTGCCTGTCTTAAAGTTTAAAAGGGGCGAAAATATGCCTTTATTTAGTGCTAACAAGGGACATCCGCGAAGAAATATCTGATAAAACTTGTAATGTGATATAAATTTACTGTAAATTTGCACTGTTGAGAAAATTGAATTAACTCGGTTCTTATCCGATTTCGATGAAACTTGGTGTTTATAAAGTAGTCAAAAATAATAGACCCATATTTTTTTATATCGGCAAAAGCTCGTTTAAGAGATGAAACTGTTCTTCAAGCTTTTGTCCTTTTTTGCTATATTAGTAACTATTAGAGATACAAAAAACTTTTTAAACAAAAATGATATGGTTTTTATAAAAAAAATAAAATAAACCATATAGAATTAAAACATATTTTAAACAATTAAGAAAATAGCTATTGCTAATCTTAATTTTTACTTTATCGAATTCGTTATAAAGGGGAAAAGTTAGCTTTTTTAATTCTGAATCTATCCATATATATTGTCCGTATAATATTTGTATCTATATTTAAATTATATGGACATAAAGATACATATAAAGTGAATGACGTTCCACAAGCTGTATGCTCGATAGCGAGTGTTTAACATCATTACACAAATGACGAGTTTTGTATACACATTTCTTAACTAGATTGCACTAAATACTATTATATTATTTATTGTCGACTGTCCGAAAAACGTTTAACAAAATTTTTCCACTTACGAAATCCATAAACATCCAAAAATTCTAAATATTTTGTTGCTTCCTTTGATATGCTGAATAATTTCAATTGTTTTTTTTCCGGTGTTATTTCATGCACTGTTCGTTTACAATGACCGCTCCAAGAATCCAACAATAAAACAGTTGCACGATTAGCATTTGAAAAATAAACTTCCCGTAACTGGGTTTTGAAATGTTTCATTGTTAGTTTTCAAAATATTCGATGTCATAACAGATAGGTTTTCAGCTTTAAACATATTTTTCTTAACACGAGGTCCAAAACTTTCCTTTAACACAACAAATAAAGATGACAGTTGTCGGCGGAAATTGTAGATTGAATGGTATAACTATGTGTTGTGGATGAGACAGATTGAATAGTTCCTTCTTCTGCTGAAGATCTTCAAGAGTGTATTTCAAGATTGAAAACGCTCTGATCTGAATTAAACACATTAATAGGTTCTTCTCTCGCAATGTACGGCTTAACAGCAGCCAAAAATT